CAGTGTCCCCTTAATCCCCCTCCTCCTCCAGGTTCCCACTGCATGACGCAGCGCGGCTGCGGCAATGGCTGACGCAGATGCGGCGGGAGAACTGGGTTCCCACCCGTCACCAGCACCTCTGCAGCGACCACTTCGAACCCTCCTGCTTCCAATATCGCTGGGGTGTCCGTTACCTGCGGCCTGACGCCATCCCCACCATCTTCCCCCGCAGCCCCCTGGTGAGCCCCCCTCTACCCCCCACTGCCACTGGCAGAGCCCCTAGAAACTTCTAGAGTAATCTAGAACAGTCTAGAACACACACCACACCACCAAAGGGCCTAGAAGCTCCCTCAGAAAGGTCTGGAAGGTTCCGGGAGAGGGAAAGGTTCCCTGGAAGTATCTCAGAGCTCTCCAGAAGTGTCTAGAAGGTTCTAGAAGCCACCTCAATGGGCTAGAAGCTTTTTGGGGGGTGGTGGGTTGTCTCAGAGAGGTCTGGAAGGGTCCAGAAGGTTCTAGAAGCCACCTCAGAAGGGACTAGTTGCTCTTTGGGGGGTGGCGGATTGTCTTGGAAGAGTCTACAGGTTCCCCAGAGGGACTGAGAAGCTCCCTAGAAGGGTCTGGTCGGTCCCCAGGAGGAGAAGGTTGTCACCTCAGGGTGGCTTTTGTCCCCAGAGTGGGGGCTTGTGGGGAGGAACTGGCACTGCTGCCCCTCCCCACTCCGGTATATCACTGTGAGAACCTTCAGAAACAGGAATTTTGGGGGTTGTCTACAGAAACGGGAGAGTCCCAGCATGCTGCCAGGCGCCACCCAGCCTAAGCAGCCCCTCCCGGCAAGCAGCCAGGAGCCAGTGATACCAGGACAGCCAGCCGTCCCTGAAACCGCCCCATCAGAGGCCACAACCGTTGCCCTGGAACCTGACTCAGCCGCGGCAACGCCGCTTCTTGGCCCCGTGGACAGCCCCGAGGGGGTCCCCGCCCACCCGCAGCCTTCCCTGGGCTACGCCACTGCGCCGCCGCCGTCACCGTGCCGGCGGGTGGAGCAAGTGGAGGATGTCACCGTCGAGCTGCCCGTCGCCGGCCCGCCGCCAGCATATTTTGAGCCCATCCCCGCAACACCAGTCACGGTGCCGGAAACTGTCCTCTCCTCGGCCTTAACGCTGCCCATCGTTTCCACTGTCCCCATTGTTTCCAAAACGGTGACGTCGATGTCACCGTCAGGCGAGCTGAGCACCGAGGAACTTGTCGGCGTGGTGCTGGTGCTGCAGCGGAAGGTGAAGGTGCTGCAGCAGCGGCACCGCCGGCACCGCGCCCGGCTGGAAGCCATGGAAGGGTTGGTGGAGCAGCTGCGCCATGAGAGCCTGCTCTCTGAGGAGAGGCTCAAGCTGGTAAGTGACACTGGGGACACAGTGGGTATGCTGGCAGGTGACACCTGGGGGGTGACACCGTTTCCCGGTGGGTGACACCATTTCCCGGTGGGTGACACCATTTCCTGGTGGGTGACATTCCTCATCAGGTGCCGCTGGTTTGAACACCGGGGTTGTGGGGAGAGGGAGGTGGCCCCTTGGTGTCACACTGTGGCATGTCCCCAAGTTTGGGGACTTCCCCACAGCGCCTCTGTCCCCGTCACCTCCCCCCCACCACTGCCACTTCCAGGCCTGCCTGCAACCGGGGCCGGTGACAGCAGATCCCACCAGCGCCGTTACCATCATCTGCCAGGAGGAGGAGGAGGAGGAGGCGACATTGGTCTACACTGTGCCACCGCCGGCGGGGACAACCTGTGGCCTCAGCCTGGAGCGGCTGTGATGTGGTGGCACCGGTGCCACCGTCACCAGGAACCTGCTGGGACATTGGGGGGGGTGGTCCTCCCTGGGGACACCATGCTGTGCCTAGGGGTGTCACCCAGAAGCCAGGGGACACCCCCAACCCCTGGGGACACCCCAGTTGCGTGGCCACTCCCCCCCCGACCTGCAGCAGAGGGTCACCTTGTGCCACCCTCCCTTTGTCCCCCACCTTGGTGCCCCTATTTTTTGGGGGGTGGGGGCTCAGTTGAGTTGCCCTCCACCCATGTGTGCTGCACCCCAGGGGAGGGAACACTTTATTTTTGTATTTAAGGTTTATTTTGTGATACTGGGCTGGGGGGAGCAGGTAGAATTTGGGGACAGAGATGTCCCTTCCCCCTGGCTTTAATAAAGGATGCTGGAGGCTTGCGGCTGGGGAGGTCTGTGTGTGACACTGTGGGGTGGGGGGGTGGCCCTTGCTGGTGGCCTTGGGGACGTCGGCCTCTCCTGGGTGTGGCTCTATTCCCCCCTGCCCCCATCTCCATCTTGCAGCCAGGCCCAAGCTGTCAGTAGGTTCCAGAGTTAATGACAGTGAAAGGGGTGGTTCCCTTGAGAATGGCCACACCCCCTGTGCCTTACAGACGTGAGAGGCCTCTACATGTCCCTCCGCATAGCCTCTGCCCCTATAGAACCCTAGATCAGCCTCTTTGCCCCTATAGCCACCATAATCCCCCCCCCCAGCCCATAAGGCTTCCTATAGCCTCTCCCACCGGTCCCAAAGCCCCTATGGCTTCTTATAGCCCCTCCCACAGCCCCTCCCACAGCCCCTCCCACACCCCATGGGTTCCTATAGCTCCTCCCCCAGCCCCTATAGCCCCTGTGCAGCCCCCTGTACCCCTCCCTGTAGCTGCTCCCCAGCTTCTGTAGTCCCCTATAGCTTCCATACACCCCATGGCCGATCTCCAGCCCCTGGGGTCCTCTTCCAGCTCCAAATCGTATCACTCCTCTCCAACACCTATAGCTTCTTTCCAGGCCCCTATAGACCCTCTCAGATCTCGGTAGCCCCTATAGCCCATTCCCAGCCCTGACTGGCCCCCTGTAGCCCCTTCCCAAAGCCTATAGGTCCCCATAGCTGCTCTCCATAGTCCTCTACAGCCCCCAAAGCATCTCTCCAGCCCCTATATGCCCCCTCCAGCCTTTATGGCTGTTCTCCATCACCTATAGCTCCCCATAGACCTCTATAGCCCTGTGCCAGCTCCTGTAGAGCCCCCCATAGCCCTTTTACTGGTCCCTATGTCCCCCGTATCCCCTAGAACCACTCTTGCACCACTATAGCCCTCATAATCCTCACAGCCATCTATAGCTGCTCATTATCCCCTATAGCCCCCATAGATATTGTAGCTGCTCATCATCCCCTACGGTCCCCTACAGCTGCTCTGTAGCCCCCATAGCCACTCATCATCCCCTATAGCAACCCCTATAGCTGCTCTGTACCCCCCATAGCCACTCATCATCCCCTATAGCAACCCCTATAGCCACTCATCCCCTACGGTTCCCTATAGCTGCTCTGCAGCCCCTATAGCCCCTATAGCTACTCTCATCCTGTATGGTCCCCTATAGCAACCTCTGTAGCCACTCATTGTCCCCTATGGTTCCCTATAGTAGCCCCCATAGCTGCTCATCATCCCCTCTGATCCCTATAGCTGCTCTGCAGCCCCTATAGCTGCTTGTCATCCTCTGTGGTCCCCTATAGCAGCCACTGTTGCCACTTGTCATCCCATATGGTGCCCTATAGCAGCCCCTATAGCCCCCATCGCTGCTCATCATCCCCTATAGCAGCCCCTATAGCCCCCATCGCTGCTCATCATCCCCTATAGCCGCTCATCATCAGAGCGAGGCCAGCAGAGGCAACAGTAAGTTGGCGGCGAAGCACTGGATTGAGGTGGACTGGGAGGTTCCCGGAGCTCTCGCGAGAGAGGATGACACGGCGTGGGCTTTGCCACGGGCAGCCGCGGGAGATTTAAACAGCCCTGAGGAGCGCTGGTGACCAGGAG